ATTTGTTCAGTAACTCTGATATTTTCATATCCGTCAATACAGTTGAAGAATCACGAAGAAAGATGATATACACGTACGCACTTATTTAGTCAAGCATAAATAACGACGGTCGTTTACAATGTCGATTCTAATATCGAAACAGGTCACAGAAGAGTGAGCTTTATGTGGTTCGGGGTAATATATTCAACAAAAGGCTCAAGACGCGTGAAAGGTAGCGAAGGGAAAGACAGTTTTGGTAATCGGTCGTGGTTAGGTATGCGGTCACCACCAGCCAAAGAATAAGAAACTCTTTCACTCCTTTTTCTCCGAAAAAAAAGTCAAGAAAATAAAGGAGTTGAATTTTTTATTTCATGCATTAAAGGCTCACAAATTTATTCAGTCGTCTTTCCGATGACTTTGTGTATGAAGAGTGCGGTGATCCATTGCGGCGAATCGCCATGAATTTACGTGCAACGTCCGTGATCGCCGAGGCTTGAAAGATATAGAATTTAAAAATTTATAAGAAACACAAATGAAAGGAGACGATGGCAAAGCCACCCGCCAGCTTCCTCCATCTTCGCGTGTGTTAGTTTTCATTCGCTGGGTAATTTCTTGCACGCAAATGCCCCGGCTACTGGAATTCTTGACTTCAAATGAACAAAAAGAAACATTTTTTGTAAATTCTGAAGTGAAGTAGCGGAGAATTAAGGGAGGTCAATGAGGCGATGTACACTGTTAAAAATTTTCGTCTCAATTTTCCGTGCCAAATTCCGCACGAAGAGAAATATTCAGTAAAGATTACGGAACAATTCACGTAATCCGCAATGGGGAATCGTTTTCCGGCAATTTTTGTAGAAATGGACGAGAAGAAATCTGAAAAATTCAGTGAATTTTCAGGTTCATCACCGAACAAAGTACGAAATTCTCACGTAATTTTTCCCGAAGAAGTAAAATCTTACAGAAACTTGCCGACTTATTGTGCCTCCAAAAACAAAAATTCTTGAACGTTCAAAAATTTTTATGAAGCCAGTGAGTTAATTCTACGTTACGTTCCATAAAATTTCTCCATCGTTGGGGAAAAATTACGGATCGACTTGTCGTCCCCACAGCGGTGAGTCATCTGACGGCTGGTTAATTTTTACGGAAGAAATCGTAGAATTTACGTGGCGATTCGTACAATTTCAGTTCCGACTCACATTTTTATTGAATTTTACTTCTCTCGCGGATTACGTTTCGAAACGTAATTTTTGCGTTTTTTTTCTGGTAATTTTTATTGAATTTTTCTCTCCGTGCACTTTCCGCCCGCGGGTGAAAAGTACTCACTTTCCTCCCGCTCATCAAAGAGCAAAATACGAACTTTCCTTTGCAAGCGGGTTAAAAAATCGTATTTACCTAAAAAAAAATCCCCTGAAACTCTCTCCGCATTTTACTCGCCCACCCGACATCCTTCTGATTTTTTCATTGAATAAATCCCTGTGGTAAATCACTTAAGAATTTTTTAGTTTCCTCCAGCCGCCAAAAACGATTTCACCAACTACTCCCTCGAAATCGTCCTTACCAACAGTCGCCCCAATTTACCTCCGAAAATCCATCGAAAGGTAGAGCCACTCTCCGCCGTTTGTTCATCAATACCTCCCACAAATAATAACGAAAAAAAAATATTGAAGCAACAAATCCTCATGAATAATTGAAGATGACAAATTCCAACTGAAATAATTTAATCGGACTAATGAACTGAATACTTGACGAGCACTGGCCTCTCCAATGCAATTGAAAATATTTTATTAAAAAAGAAAAATGAACTACATGTTCGTTAACAACCGTGGAACCCGCGTGGAGCACGCAAAGATCCTTCTCCCTGATAAAATCCCATAAAAATTGATTTGGTCATTTTCCACTGATACCAGATGTAAAATGTCACATCTGACACGTGGCCCCCTTGCTTTATCGAATCCCCTGGAAATCACATCAGCATGAAACTACATTACATAACGATGATTACCCTGATTTACCACTTAACAATTTAATAAAACTGGCGCGTTGACGTGTTCCCTTTTGTACTTTCTCGAATCGATTTGCTTATTCATCACGAAACCTTTGTAGAGTGTTCAAGGTTGTGTTTTCTATTTGAAAAATACCAAAGACCGGATAGAAAAGGGAACTACGAGGGGAAAATCACTTATCTGTAGTGCAGTGATGAAGCATTAAAAAAAGCGGGTGACTTTTTGTGATTGTGAAATTATCTGGAAAACTAGTGATATTACGGGGAAATGTCGAGAGAGCTTTTTTGTAGGTGATAAAACAGCCAATAGAACGTCTTCGGTGATGAGTTGTGAAGTTTTCGTCTGGCTGCCCTCATTGTAGAGTCGACGGCATATTTATGAAATGACTAAATAATTGTAATTGCTTTTTTGGTTTCAAAAACAAAGATTTGTTCTTTATTCAGTTAAATAATTTAATTATCATAAAAATCAGATCTTCCATTATATTGCGATTCCCATGAACTTTCAACTGTTATTGAAAAATTGTGATTGTCAATTTTTCCAGTAAATAAATTCTCGGTCGGAACAGAAAAAAAATATTTTTTAAATTTTACTACAAAAAATTAACAATTATTCTATTTTTTATTATTTTGCGTGATTTTCATTGATTAAAAAAAGCGGTTTCATTGAAAATCTCGAATTCCCAGCGCATTCTGGCGCTCATGTACTTTTTATAAGAATTCAAAAATGTAATTGATCGAAAAACTTCGAGTGAGGTTCGAATGTTTTTTTTTATTCACCTCCAAGAAGTTATTCTCTCCAAATTAATAATGCGATTATATTCCGATCTTCATGAATTTCAATTTTTTTTTAAATATTTCAATTATATTTCAGAAGCGATTGATTTTACGAAAAAAAGGGGAGTCGTTCATAATGAAAAATGTCGTTTCATCACTTCCCTCCAAATTCCTCAATGGTAGTTCCAATTAGACGGAGAGAACGATAAAAAGGAAAGGGAAAAAATATTGGTGATAAGTCCGACGATTTACAGTTCATAAATCCCCGAGTTCGTCGAGGGTTATCGTTAATTTTATTGTGAGAAAACATTTCGTTCCGTGATTTCCGAGCAAGAAATTAATTCCAACGCATTTGTGACATTGTAAGCGAGTCAATGGCCGTGATAAATACAAAAGTCATTGTTTTTTTACTCCTCTTGGTGTATTTTTTGGCGGAGGGATACGCCGTACCGTCCCCTGTTGTCCTTACGGAGAAGCAATTGAAGAAATCACGGGCACAAGATGCTGCGGCCGGTGATGAATCGACTTCGGAGAGGATTGGACCGAGAGATGACGCTTCTATCATCGTTGCACCACGTCGGGTCACTAGGTGCAAACCCGGGGAACGACCGGACAAACGGGGAAGGTGTAGAGTGCCTTGGTGATTATGTAAGTTTGATAAATGCTCTTACATCGAGAGAAAACTGTCCGAAAAATTACCGTACAGGTTTTAAAATTCCGTGACCGTCATGTGACGGTCATATGACGTCAACGCTTCTCACGTCGTAATTTCGGTCACACTTTCCCCTGCGATTCTGAACTACAGATGCAGATGCGTCCCATGACCCGTTATCTGACGGTCCTGTGACCGTCACAATTTTCTAAGAAAAAATGACAGCCATTTTTTGTTTATATAGATGGACATTAATACTTTCTTCATCAATTCAGTAGCGAAGCAGTAAACCGGGTTGATTCGATTTTGACCATTGGCCACCCGGAGTCAAAGTGTCATATTTAGGCTTTTTTCGGGGGGAAAGTCGACTTTCGCCAAAATCGAATTTTTCCGCCGAGTGAAAGTCGATTCTGTATTTTCTGGCCCGCCTAATGCCACTGAGGCCCTCACTTGCCCCGGAAATGCAGAAATAAAAAAATTTTTTTTTTGCACCCAGAGCCAAAGTGCCATATTTAGGCTTTTTTCGGGGGGAAAGTCGACTTTCGCCAAAATCGAATTTTTCCGCCGAGTGAAAGTCGATTCTGTATTTTCTGGCCCGCCTAATGCCACTGAGGCCCTCACTTGCCCCGGAAATGCAGAAATAAAAAAATTTTTTTTTTGCACCCAGAGCCAAAGTGCCATATTTAGGCTTTTTTCGGGGGGAAAGTCGACTTTCGCCAAAATCGAATTTTTCCGCCGAGTGAAAGTCGATTCTGTATTTTCTGGCCCGCCTAATGCCACTGAGGCCCTCACTTGCCCCGGAAATGCAGAAATAAAAAAATTTTTTTTTTGCACCCAGAGCCAAAGTGCCATATTTAGGCTTTTTTCGGGGGGAAAGTCGACTTTCGCCAAAATCGAATTTTTCCGCCGAGTGAAAGTCGATTCTGTATTTTCTGGCCCGCCTAATGCCACTGAGACCCTCACTTGCCCCAGAAATGCAGAAATAAAAAATTTTTTTTTTTCACCCGGAGCCAAAGTGCCATATTTAGGCTTTTTTCGGGGGGAAAGTCGACTTTCGCCAAAATCGAATTTTTCCGCCGAGTGAAAGTCGATTCTGTATTTTCTGGCCCGCCTAATGCCACTGAGACCCTCACTTGCCCCAGAAATGCAGAAATAAAAAAATTTTTTTTTCACCCGCAGCCAAAGTGCCATATTTAGGCTTTTTGCGAGGGGAAAGTCGACTTTCGCCAAAATCGAATTTTTCCACCGAGTGAACGTTGATTCTGTATTTTTTGGCCCGCCTAATGCCACTGAGACCCTCACTTGCCCCAGAAATGCAGAAATAAAAAAATTTTTTTTTCACCCGCAGCCAAAGTGCCATATTTAGGCTCTTTTCGGGGGGAAAGTCGACTTTGATCCCAGCCTTCACGCGAAATAGCGGAGAAACCGTTGCATGCGGACGAAAATTCCCGAGTTGACGCAATCCCTGATGACAAAAATATCAACAGTGACAGAAGCCGCAAATTGCGGAAAAAAACAAGTCGCAAAAAGCCTTGAACCGCTCCAATCTATAAATACCATATTCCCAATCAATTGACAGCCGCATTTTCAATTATGTACCACTCAAGAGCAGTCGCCTGTCTTTTCCTAGTCGCGAGCCTCCTAGTGATAACAGAGGCATCGACCGCCGTCGATTCACCGGAATCCGGAGTGTCTTGTGAACAGATAACGGAGAATAATTCCATTGACCCGTCAAGGGATTCCAATGTCCCTTTGAAAACGCACGATTATAAGGAAACGGGAGACGTAAGCACAACAACAAACTCTTATCCCTTTGAAAACCTTCCGGAGCAAGACCGATCAATCATTAACGCTCCATTGAGGAAATGTCCGAGGGGACAGCGTAGAAATCCCCAGGGGTTATGCAAAGATTTACTCTGGTGAGCTACAACAAAAAGATCTAGTCGAATGATAATAATTTTCCATTTATTTAGATAATTTGTTATTTAATGAGACTAATTGCGTGGGTTATTACATAATTAAGAAAGATTTCGCATTCAGTGACAAATATTTCTTGACACTACATCTGTTATTGTTCATTTGTGTCACGCAGATGGTTTTATTTAATTATCAACACGATAAAACTTTTATTTACATCAAATGAGTAGGTTTTTAAATACAAACGAATGATTTCCGGATTCAAATAAAGAATTTATTGATTAGAAATGAATTATTCAGTTCCCATAAGGTAAATGATACTACGGTCGTCTAGCTAAGGTGAACACATCATAAGTCCAATATTTCTGTCGAAATGAGCGTGAAGATCCGATGATTTAAATTACATATCAGAGGGTAAAACCTTCAGAATTGGAATTCAGTAGCGAAGCGGTAAACCGGGTTAAGTCGATTTTGACTATTGGCCAGTTTTTGACGAATATCTCGGAATCTAAAAGAGATAGAAAAATTTTTGTTAGGAACTTTTTATAGCCCTTACTTGGTTCTACAAAAAAGGTCATGAGAAAAATTTTGCTATCTCTCTTAGGTTCTGAGATATTTATCAAAAACTGATCAAAAGTCAAAATCGATTTAACCTGGTTTACCGCTTCACTACTGAATTTATTTATATTAATCATGATAATTACTATTTTTAATGAGTAATCGTCCATAAATGTGACAAGTCCCATGTCCCTACGCTCGCTCATTTGTCCCCATGTTCATTTAACACATGTCCCTATCCTCTAACTAATTACATCGTGAGGATCCTATTTTGTGATAAAACAACATTCAAAAATATCTCGAGGCACAAAATTATTTTTCCATTGAACAGTCCAACCTTTTGGCGATCAATGCCATTTTCATTGTACCTATTCTTTTAATTGGCGATATTTCAGTGAAATGTCCGGATGTTACTATAATTTATGCATTTTTATTGAATTTTTAACTATTCGAAACCTTAGCCAAGGGATTTTTAATCCCATTTTACTATTGTAACGGAGATATCAAGGTTTTAAAATTGTGAGTTTCTTAACTTGTGGCTTAAGAATTGTCTCTGTCGTAGCACGAGTTAATGTGAATGGGATTTTTCTCTCTTATTATTCAATAAATAACTCTTCATTGATGTCTATAACTTTTCTCATTAACTAAAATAATAACTCCAAGCGTACTTCACTCTTAATAGATTCTTGGGACTATCAAAATGATTAAAATGTGATCGCTGGCAGGATCTCAACGCGCGCGGGGACTGAGTTTATCGATTCCCACCGAAAATATTTGAGTTTTGCTGGAAAACTATATAATATACGAAAAAATATACTTTTTTTTTCGATTTAAAAATATACATTTTTAAATCGAATGCATTTGTTGCAGAAATGCAATCTCTAGAGTACATGAAACTCTGTTGTGACGTACGTGAACCAATTATCAAAAAATATTCGAGTTATTTCATGAAGGCACGACTTGTAATACCCGGAATGATGAGTATACCACTTCAAGCTCGAGTTAAACACCTTCAGAGATAATAGAATCACCTATAGGTGCGTGCTCTCCTCATTGAAATAATCCGTCACAAGAGGGGACTCCGACAATATTACAACTGTTATCAGCCGAGTGGTCCCCTTAACATTCAGTCGGTACGTGAATTGTGCAGTTAAATCATCCAACATGAGAGCCCATCTTCTCGGGAGACTGACTCTTATATTTTTTCTATTGACAATTGTGGTTGTAACTGTGTGCGAAGTGACACAGGAGGATTCCAAGAGGTTTATTCGGTTTGAGGAGAGGGTGGAGTTTGGCTCCATCATCAATGTGCCGCTGAGGTGCCCACCGAACACACTCAAAGTTGGAAATCGCTGTCGCACGGTTTTCTGAAGGTTAATTATCTGTTATTCAATGGTATTACACATTGCGGATTCTTTTATTCAAGCGTACGAGGGGGAATTGAGGAATATTTATTCGAGATTGTGGGTTTATTTTCATGCTGGGGAGGATAGAATTGAAGCGGTTTATTTCGATCTTTGATTTTGAACAATCAAGTTCACAGACAGAAGAACTTAAACGTTAATTACGTTTTGCTAAACGTAATTCAAGTGGTTTATGTTCGAGAAATCATTTTGAGTGAATGAAAACGCAATGACAATTCAAGTCCAAGTTTGAATGGAAACTTTCTTCAGGGAACGCTTTTTTTTGTTTCAAATTACATTTATGGAATAAAAAAAAAGTTCTCTTGGTGCAATCATGCACTGGTATAAATTCTCACTGATGAATACTACTGAACTACTAATACTACTGAAGTGAACAATCCCAATATAGTGAATTGTTAAGATCTGTGTAAACGCAGGAAATTTATTATTCAAATACATAGAAAATTGTGAATGAAGCGACCCTCCATTAATTGTCAAAGCTATAATTACTTTTGGATTATGTTATGGTTCGTACTAAATTTCATGGTGACCAGAAATTTTTTCCCCGTTCACAAATTCTCGGAATTTTTTCCCCCGTCAATTATTTCTCAGCGAATTGTTCTCTTTGAGATTAATTTCCCTTAGGAATTTTTTTTATGTGTGATTTTATTGTCGTTCTTCAGAAAATGCTAATTGAATTTCTTTTTTTTTCTTGGAAGGAGAAAAATAAAAAAATTAATGACAACAATTTTTTTTTACTCGCGACTGTTCAATTTATAGATTTCGTTAAACTTGTTTTGTTGTAGACGTTTCACTTGACGAGTTGATTTCTATTCGTACCAAAACGACGTTTGTAGATCGCTGATTATATTGACAATTGATAACTTTAGCTTGCTGAAATGTTAATAATTTCGTCTGGTTGTAGATGTTCTATTCCAGGAATTGAATCCTACTGTGATGAAAAGGTATGTAAATTATTCATGATGTTCAGAAATTGTTGACTTCTGGAAAATAGTCGATGTGACATTAAATAAAAATGACTTGATGTTGCTTTCGAATATGTATCTGATTTCATATTTTACAGGGAAATTTCGCATGGTTTTTTTTTTCGTGGGGACATAGGAATTTTTCTGAGAAACAATTTTTCTCCGATTTTTGTCCGGGTATTTTCCGCGGGGAAAAAAATTCGGGAACCGTTTGAAAACTCGTTTGTTTTTCTCTCAGGGTAGCTCTAATGATTTCTTTGAAATTCACTCATCAACGCGACGCTTCAATAATTTAAAAGATGAGTCATGATCGTTGGACATGCGTCAATGACGGATTGTTAACGATGTCAGTTCGAGTTGGGGTTAAGGAGAATTCTTCGTTCAATTTTCCGTTCATATTGAGAATTTGAGAAGACGAGTATTCTAAAACGGGAGACGCAATTACAATACGTCAACAAATGACTAGTGTTTCCAACGGAAAACTCACTCAAGGTTCTTCGTTTATCAATTTTCCGAAGAATTTGAACTCGAATTGGCGGAAAAATGTCTTGCGTCTGGAGAGATTATTTTATTCAAGGCCAATATTAATGGAAAAACTCTAATCACGAACAGCATTGTAACATAATTGGAATGCCGATAACCCTCCTCCCTCCCCATGTGTGTAGGAAGTGCGAATCTTAGTCAATAGTGCGATTGTTTCCATTAGAACTGAATGCGGTCAGACCTAATTGAGACCTTAGGATAGCAAGACCTTGTGGTTTTCCTTGAAGATAATTCAACTGATCTTGTGTTTACCAATGGTATTCGTAAATTTCCAAATATTACTGTCATTTGCTGCAAAAAGTAACATTGTTTATAAACGGAGACCAAAGTTAGAAAATTCAATTCTTTTTTTTTTTTAATAAATTTGAAAAATAGTAAATTTTCCTTTTTTTATCGATTTGTCTCGATGATCTATTCAGGACTTTTGGTTTTGTTCTTTGGAGTTTAAAGAAAATTTTGAAAAAAAGGGATTCGGAATTCTCAAGTTACAAAAAAAAATAAAAATGAAAAAATTTTTTTCTTCGTTTTGTATTAGATTTTTAACTTAGAGCAGCGAAAGTGGCAGTAAATATCCCCATTATACGCCCTTCTCTCCATTTTTCATGGTTTACAAAATTTATCGATCAACACCAGGGGCGTTTCTTGTAAACTGCTCGATTTGAATATTTCACAGCGGTCTCCCCTCAAGGGAGAGTGCCAGGAGACCGTTTTTATAGCTAGAGAAATTTCCGACAAGAAATGGCCTCGCACGTTTTCTGGTAAACTAATTCGTCGTGGGAACAATTTCGTCATTAGCAATACCTGTTACGATTTGTGATTGAAACTCAGAAATGAGGATTGCTCTCAACGCAATGGTCGGTCATTATTCGATGGGCGGAAATGTCTTGTAGGGAATTTCGTAGAACGAATTTTATTAAAAAGTTCTTGTACTCCTTGGTAGAGATTTTTTAGATAATTTGAGAATAAGGTGGATAAAATTTCCGGGAATCTCATCCCTTGCGCTTCATCGCTTTGACTGCTGCACGAAAAAAAATAAAAATAAAAAAAAATTATTGATTTTTTTTTATTTACTCATATTTTTTATATTTTATAAAATATAAAATGCATTTCCTCATGGACGCAATTGATTAAAAGTTTCAATAAACTATTGCATTAATATTTTTATCGATTAAATTCATTTTTTTGTTGACATTCATCCGACATAACAGATAACAATAATTCAAGTCAGCCAATGCTATTAATTTACAAGTAGTTACATTATTAAAAAATTCATCACACCTCAACTCCTCTTAATTATTCATTTTTCCTTAAGTTATTTTCTAGACGGAAGAATATCGATTAATTTTTTGATGTCAATAATTATTGAAGGGGTTCACTTAAGTTTATAACTAACATGATCATCTCCTAGAGGAAAATAAGTGATGAGTACAAACTATCTTGACGAGAGGTTCTTCATCTCAGTGTGGGGTTTGACGAAGGAAATCAAGGATTTTTCTGCTAAAGATTTCAGTT